TGCGGCCGGGGCTTCGGCACGGCCAGCCACCTGAAGAGGCACCAGCGCATCCACGCCGGCGAGAGGCACCCCTGCCCCCAGTGCGGGAAGAGCTTCAGCCGGCCCGGCGACCTGAGGGCCCACCAGCTCGTCCACACGGGCGAGAAACCGTTCAGCTGCGCCCAGTGCGGGAAGGGCTTCAACCACGCCTGCACCCTCAAGACCCACCAGCGCCTCCACACGGGGGAGCGGCACACCTGCGCCCAGTGCGGCAAGGGTTTCGGCCGCCCCCGCGACCTGAGGACCCACCAGCTCATCCACACGGGCGAGAAACCGTTCGGCTGCGCCCAGTGCGGGAAGAGCTTCAACCAGCTCAGCACCCTGAGGACCCACCAGCGCATCCACACGGGGGAGAGACCCTTCGGCTGCGCCCAGTGCGGGAAGAGGTTCATCAAGTCGGGCAGTCTGAAGACCCACGAGCGCACCCACACGGGGGAGAGGCCCTTTGGGTGCGCCCAGTGCGGGAAGAGATTCGGCGAGATGAGCAAGCTGAGGCGACACCAGGGCGTCCACACCCGGGACCGTCCAGCTGCTGGACGAGATCTAGACACTCAGGCATCTTAATAAAGAAAACACACACACACGCACGCAAATACCAACTTCTTCAGCCGCCAGAATTGGGTTTAGACGCTCAGACGCCTTATGACATCGGTATGACATCCTTCCCGGGAGAGGAACCACGTTCCATACTGGAAAACCCAGTGCGGGAAGAGATTCGGCGAGATGTAAAACCGAGGTCCTGACTCTCTGTGGTCATTAACAATCCCAGGGCGTCTCTCGAAAAGAGTAGGGGTGTTACCCCGGCGTCCTGGCCAAATTTCCCATTGGCCCTTACCCATCATGGGCCCCTAATAACCCCCCTCTCTGAACTGGCTCCATCCCTCTGCTCTCCTCCCCACTGAGAGCTGCTGTGTGGGGAGCGTTCTGGCGCACTATGGCCGCCGTCGCATCATCCAGGTGGGGGCTGCGCACTGGTGGTGGTAGTGGGATTCCCCATGACCTGTACAGCGCTTTGAGTGGGGTGTCCAGAAAAGCGCTATATAAGTGTCAGCAATAATTATTATATCAATGTAACACGCCTTACTTTGGTAGCAAGGAGATGTTGTTCATTACCAGTGTAGCAGCAAAGAATACTTTTCCTGCAAGAGAAGAAATCCCGTGTTCGCAAACCAATGGGTAGTTTTGCCTGATGAAATTAAGGCCATGGGGCATCCTGAATCTCCAGGTGGTTTCAGTTCAAAGCGATGGCCGAGGTGCGCGGAGTTTCTCCCACCCAACCGTCTTTCAGAACCCTCAGAATCAAAGTCAAGCATGCTTTCCTGAGTTCACAGAGGGGACTCTCAACGGGGGATAATTCAGTTTAAAGCCACCTAAAATCGGAGCAGCATGCTACAGAAAGTGGAACTGGTAAATGCCTTTAAAATTGAACTGGATCGCGTCACCCAAGAAGAGATGAGGCCGGGTGGTACTCATATCGGCGAGGTGGCCTTTCGCCGAGCGAGGT